AACCGTTAAGATATCGATTTATCGGTTATTGATTTATTGGTTAGTGATCGTTATCGGGTTAACCATTAGTAATTCTCAATGAAAAACAGTACGCAAGTAGCTAGTAATCACTGATGAACTTTTCCATGTTAGTCCATTACTACATAAAACACTTAATAAAATTTCATATTAACCTGGACAGAGATGTCAATCCAAATTGGCAAACTCAAAAGGAATCCTCATAACAACCAAGTCAATTTCGATATGAACTATAAAGAGAAATCATTACAACACTACTAACGAAAACCATTAATGATCATCATGAGACCATTACTAATAAAAACTTTTTCATTGCAGATTGTAGTATTTCAATATTGCAGGCATATCTCACTGACTCACTCACTGTAATGAGAAGATAAAAATAAAGCCTTAAAGTAAACCATTTAAACCTCAATCTAGACACTTAGAGAATGATATTCAATATAACTCACTGGCGTGGGAGCTGTGACAATGAATCAATGAGTGATGTCGCATCTTTGAAATATTATTGTGAAATTTGAGTGTCGACTATAAAGTCATTGTAAAAAGTCTGAAGAGTGAAGTGTAAACCCTAAAGTGCCTAAGGCCTTAAGTGATATAAATGTAATTAATTAAACTTCTTATGAGGTTATCGGGGCATCCGATTAGAAATATTGCCAAACCTAACCGAACTGATAAGCCGATAGGAAGTTTATAGTAAACCGAGACCCGAACCGTTAAAACATTAATCCAAACCATTGATCCAATAACCAAGTTATCTGTTTCAATTCGATTTTGAATAGCTCTAACGAAAGAGAGAAAGGAGAAACAATTTTCTCAAAATTAGGGAGAAGGATGAAATGCCTTTCAACTATATATGCGAAATGGTTAAATTTATCTCTGAACTATGCGAAATATTCAAATTTACTCTCAGTTTAAAAATGAGGGCAAGTTTGTTCATTTTTGCATAGTTGAAGGGAAAATTTGACCCCAACTAATAACGTCAAGGACATATTTAACCTAAACTATTAACAAATATGTCAAATATTCTTTTTCATTTTGCATAATTCAAAGACAAATTTAACCCTTTACCCTAAAAACTAAAAGGTTATAAAAGTTTTTGCAACATAAAATTAAAGCAGACCATTTCTATTATATTCTTGTCATGACTGTGGAAAAAGGAACCAAGAAAATGAAAGATATGAAATTTATGCAGCCATTGTATTTTTATTTTTAATTTTTGTAAGAAATATTTCCATTTTCCATTTTTTTAAGTTGCAAAATCATGCTTCAAAAATGACAAAAAATTACAAAATGCAGTCCATTTCAATGACTATATTGTAATCTGCATGGCATGCAACATGAGTGATCACATCTCCAATGCAGACAAAAATAATGTTATCACAAAAAAATAAAAATAATAGGATATGTTTATTTAAGAGAAGAAGATTAATTAATGCGTCAATCAAGAAGATTAACGAATGATGAAAGAACTGGTGTATATCAAACAATACGTATTCCTTCGTCTCGAATCATCTGTCGTGATTATTTTTATACGCTTCATAAAAAATATTCATTCCGCTCATCTTTATTTGTTAAGTATTGATTTGACATACCTCTTAAGGGTATTTTTTATCCTATTCCCTAATTTAGTGGTTTGGGATATACATAAATTACGAACTAACTAATAAATTATTCCTTCATTTTTTAAAATAGAAAAGTAAAAGTGGACATCTATTTTATATAAACAAGTAAAAATGGACATAAATAATTAGAGTGTTCCATAACTGAGTTATTTGTAGTCTTCAAAAAGAGTAACTATAGTGTGATAATTCTTTTTCAAACTTCTAAAAGGATAAATAATTTGAAAACAATTTTTTAAAAATATAATACCTAATTTGAGACGAAATAGTAATTTTGAATTTTTGGCGTTGACAAATTAATAGATAAAGATCAGGTTATACTAAGAACAGATTATATTGATGATGATTGAAGTAGGACACTTGGAAGTTGGAATATTAGGAATTGAACACTTCATTCATCTCTATTATTATTTTCTTAATAAAATATAATTGCCGTTGATATTTCCATTATGATTGACAATCTTGATGGTGAAACCATGTTTTAAAAAAATAAAATATATATATATATATATTCAAGGAAATTAGGCTTAATCTTTAATTAAGAATTTTCATTAAAAAAAAACGATGATGGATGCGTGTACAGCTCTTTGCTTACATACTATAAAAAGTGTTTAAGAGATTATTCTTAATACAATATAATTTATTATTTAAAAAAAAAAAAAACATATGGTACTAATTTGAATTAGCTTAAAAGCTGATCAAATTAATTTTTAAGTATTTTTTTTGGCTTAATTATTAGCTTAATATATTAATTTAAGTGTTTATCGACTAGCTAAATATAGTGTTATACACTTGGTTATAAACAAATCGAAATTAAAATTTCCAATTTTCTAAAAAAGAATTCTTCAATTTAAATTTCTTAAAACTTTATATGGTTTTGCAGGGAAGAGTTAGAAAATAATAATAAAAAATTAATATGAGAAAAATTATGAATCATATGATTTTCCAGCTTAAATTCTAAAACAATGGATATAAAAAAAAGGAGAAGGCAAGTTTTCCCTACGTTCATAAAAACTAATTAAATGCCCCAAAAGTCAGCTACAATAATGTTAAGCAATATATTGATTCATCAAAAGTCAAAAGAAATAAATATAATGGAATTATGGTGATGAATAATGCCACGTGCAAACCACACAAAACCTACTTCTATAATTATCGTTGGGATTTTATTATGGTGTTTCAACCAGGATCTCTATCCGCATAGATTGTGGTGGGATGATTAAGGCTTTTTTGTTTTTAATCGAAAGTTGAAAATGAGAAAATCCCTATATTAGGAGTGCCGCCTTTAAGAGTCTTACAATGCGCAAATTCAAATTCAATCGAATTCTAATATAACATCAAATACAAAGCGAGCTAGAAACCAAAAAAAATAATATGTCATCATCTTTTCTGCCTCATGTTTAATATTCATTTTAGATCCTGACTAATCTGTATTCACAAGTTCATTAAATGGAAAGAAATTTCCTATTAAAGTTTCTTCATTTTCAAAACTAGAATTCAAGATAATCTAACTCAACAATTCTTAGCGGTGATAGGTTTGTATACAAACCCTTATTCTGTAGTTAAAGAAACATTTCGAAATTATAGAGAATTTAATAGATTAATAATGTACCTTTGAAAGTCCTGTATAATTAATCAGTGGGACAAATTAAAGATTTAAGTCATGTATAGCATAAAGTTCGTTAAAAATACATCTAGGTTAAACAAATAGTGCATTTTTATAATAGATTGATTTGAAAATTATAGAGGACTTTGTGTGTATAAATTGTATTGGGATTATTAATTTCCATTCTAACAAATTCAAGTAATTCTTAGTGTAGACATATTCATATACTCAATGAAAATATATTTTCTTTATTTTATATTAACTGAATTTTTGAGGCTTTTTTCATTTTTTAAAATAAATGAATTGTTCGAAGTTCAAGATGGATATTTAAATTATTCTTTTCCATATTTTCCCTTTATTTATTAAAGTTTTATATTTTCTAAGAGATAAATTACACTACTTACAAAGTTATATTCTACTTTACCATTTATATTCACCAAATTCATTAGTTTTTATCAAATATATTTACCAACCAAATTGACCAACAATTCTTAGTCATATGAACGAGAAATGCAAGTTCAACGTGAGAAACTATCCATATATACTATGAGGAAGGATTATATTAAAGAGTAGTATACCATAACTAATTATGTTTAATTTTATTTTTGTATTGAATTAAAGCTTGATCAATAAATATTGTACATTTTAAGAATACCTTTGTGATAGTGTATTATGCGATTTTATAAACTTGTGCTTATTTGATAAGATTGTATGAAGAATTGAGGCAATTTTAATAGTTTTACAACTTATGAGATTTTTATGTTTATGAGAAAACATACAAAATTAAAAGTTCAAATCACATGTCTAAACAAAACTTCAACTTCATATTCACTTCTTGATTTCATATTGCATGGTCACACGGGCCCTTAGTATCCATTTGGTCATGAATTGTTATAATTTTCTAAAATTAAAAAAATAAAATTGGAATTTGAAAAACTTCAAAAAATTGTTTTCATAATTAAATATCATTCTCAAAAACTTAAAAATAATTTTAATTGATATTCATGTTCAAACAGAACTCCAATTTTCAAGTATTATTTAATTTGAAAATAATTTTTATATCTAAACGACCACTTAATTTTTCTCATCATGAATCAAGCATGTGGAGGTTTTAAACCCTTATTTATTGGTCTCGAAAATCATTATAAAAAAAATATCATCTTTGTGAATGACAAAATAAATGTAACAGTTGACAGTACTGAACTTGTGTAAGTAAGTCTAACAACTTGTATATAACTTTCATGAAACATAACCAATTGACAGAGATTATATTAACAATTCTTTTCACAAATATCCATGAATAATAGAACAAATAAATAAATCTCTTTTTCTTTTTAAATAATTTTGATAATTTTCTTAATAACTTGCAGCTCAAAAATATACACGTAGTACATTCATATGACTTTAGCTTCTATATTATTTTAAGTAATAGATACAAATATTATATTGTCCGTTGTTCAACTTATTTATCAACATGATCAAAATATATGAAATATATACAACATATACATTATTAATATGATCGAAATATATATGAAATATACACAACATAAAATATATAATATTCATATAATTTATAAATTAAATGATCAAATGATTCAGATCGATATTTTTTATATTAAAGGGGAAGAGGGGCGGCAATTGGCAGAGAGAGGGATAAGAACGAATGTATAAATCTAATAACTGAATGAATCTCAGAGCAAACTAAATAAACAACAAAAATAAATAATATTGTCAACTATATATTATGTTGCTTGCAAGAAAAATGAAAATCAGACTTTTCATTAATTGCCTTGCGGACTTTTTACATACCACAAATAAATTCTAAAAAATTAAAAGGAAAAAAAAACATAGCAAGAAAAAATAGAAAAAAAAAACAAAAACAAAAACAAATCCCTATGTTTACATTAACTCCTTTCTTTTCTTAAGTTAGATAAATTAATATTATATATATATATACAAAATTTTCTTTTCTCTGTGATTGAATTTCTCCTTTTCCTTTAGTAATCGAAATATCTCTGAAGGTCAGTGACACACGATTCAAAACTATAATATGTTTCTGGACCCTTCTTAGCTTTCCTCATGAAGAAGGAAATTTTGTTTCATATATTTTCCTCCAAGTTGTGAGGGAAAATCTTTAGTTGATGGAATTGAAGAGATTTTCTCACAATTCAATGTTTTTATTTTATTTTAATTTAATTTATTTTATGATGATGTCTTGTGGGAGAGAATAATGGGCAGGCCATTTTGGGGAAGAGCAAAGGGTCCATACTGAATTCCATTTTGTGGGCCCATCATAGACCACCTGCCAGACATAGAGGAAATGGAACAGAATATTATGAGATGAGTAACACTTAAAACATTTCTATTTTTAGGAACTTCAATTTTACTAATAAGTTATAACTATAGATTTTTATTTTTTACCTCATCTTAAAAAAAGAAAATGAGTTTAAGTTCAACAAATCAGGGGCGAAGCTAGAATGCTAGTCGTAGATTTAGTCGACTCTAATAGATTTAAAGCTTATTAGGATTGGTTGTGCAAATTTCAATAATTTATTTTAAAATTCAAGACTCATAAACTTCAAATATAAATAACTTTATTACTAACCTGTACTTTGTGGTAAGATGATGTACAAGGATCAAAATTTCCAGCTTGGCTAACTCATTGCCTGGACATGAGTGGGTCCCATTGCCAAATGGCATGAAAGTATTGGGTTTTGGAGTAACCTGGCACCATCACATAAAAATAAAAGATTTTTCTCAGTATCCATAGGATATTATAAAAAATGTTAATTAATTACTAAAATTTATACTTTTTTTCCCCTTGATATTTACCTCAAATCTTGAAGGATCAAACTTCTCTGGTTCAGAAAAATTATCAGGGCTATGGTGAATGTTTCTAAACAGTGGTAATACTTTCCATCCTTTTGGTATTAGATATCCTGAAATAAATCAAGAAGATAATTTTATTAGTCAGTATTAAAATTAACAGAATAAATCGCGACCCTTCTTAATTTATCGAGTTCCTAAACTTCAATTATTTTGATTCAGATAATTCAAGAATGTGTAACACACGCGTTGTCACATAGATTTTGTTGTCCATGTAACTCAATAAATTTAAGGGGATTTCGATCTATTCTGCTGATAAAATTTATCCAAACTATATTATAAAATTTATGACTAAATGAAAATATGAAGGGTCAAAGCTGACCTTCAAACTCAACATCCTCAACAGCTTCTCTGAATGTAAAAGATAAAATTGAAGCAGCTCTAAGTGTCTCTTGGATCACTCTTGTAGTCATAGGCATTTTCTTTGTGTCTGCCCAACTCAACACTTTCCCTTCTCTGATTATCCCCTCTTGCTCTTCCTACAAACACAACAACGAAAAAAATCCGAGTCAGAATCTATAAAGTTCAAATCCTGAATATCGTTTACGAGGAAAATGCTAGTAGAGGATATAGAGTCTTACTGTGACAGCTTGTAGGACACTAGGATTTTCACCAAGGTATTTAAGGATCCATGTAAGGACACTAGCTGTAGTGTCTCTAGCAGCAAATATGACACCAATTATGTTATCTGCAATTTGTTCATCTGTAAGATTTTCTTGATCTCCCATAAAAGATCCTAATAAATCTGTATGATTTTGATTTGTTTCTCTCCTAACTGAGATGATTTTAGCTAAGATCTTTGCTAGCTCTTTTCGTGCTTTCATTGATTTGTGAAAAAGTGTTCCTGGGAGATTGATTGGCATCGAATTGTACCCCGTTTCGAGCACGTAATAACACCTCTTTAGATCCTCCCTATACAGCATTTCATCTTTGCCAAATATCGAAAGCAATGCAACGTTGTATGTGTACTGCAAAAATGTTGCCAAATTGAGAAAAACAGGGGAAAACACAGGAAAACAGGGGAAAAACAGGGGACTCTGTTTTTGCAAGAAAACATACTGTTTTCATTTCTTGGTAAGTGTTGATTAATCTTCCTTGCATAGATTCAAGTGAGTTTATCGCGATGGACTCGATGTCTGGTACGATGTTTTTGATGGCTTCTGGCTTGAAAGCTCGAAGAACTAGCTTCCTTAGCTTAGCATGATATTCTCCTTGATGAAAAAAAATGGCTTGTTTACCCAACATCCTCTCTTTACTAGCAGGAAATGTAGGTTTAAAAAGATGAGCTTTTGTCACCAAAACTAGTTTTGCTGCTTCTGGGCTTGATATCATCACACATGGACATCCCAATATATGAGTCTTGAAAATTGAACCATACCTGTTTTTTTCCAAAAAAAAAAAAAACACACCCATTGCTCATTAGCAACTCAAAATCAAGAAAACCAAGAAGAAAATCAAGAAAATTGAGTAGTTTTGGTACTAACTTCTTGACTTTAGAAGCAAAGAAGAAACTGGGGTTTTGTGAGTAAAGCTGAAAAGTTTCACCAATATAAGGCCAACCCAAAGCACCAGGAGGAAGAGGTAACTTCTTAACACCAAAATCAAAGAGCTTAAACACAGAATGAAGAAGTAGAATTGAGCAAGAAATGAAAGCAAACAAGCAAAACATAGACACAAACTCCATATCTCTCTTTTGTTGTATATAAAAACACCAAAAATGTTACACAACTTGTGAAAAAGATGAAACCTATGATACTGTAATGAAACCAAGTGTATGTATATATAGGTAAATACATGGGGGTAGGTGT